AACGTAGTGCTTAATTTGCTATATTCAAAGATGGCTTGAGAAATTGGCGGGTCGAGAAGAAAACACGTTTTGTCACTGCAAATTCACAACTGTCAACTCATTGTTCTTCGCCATATTCTTTGTTTACCCGTTGCCACAAATGTCATTCTGTGGGAATGCGCAATCTTGTATTCTATCGTTCTTGCTCTAGACACATAGATACGCGCATGTAAATTAACTCACACTTAATTTAAATTAACGAAGAAAATTTCAAATTCGCGGTCACTTTAAGAACACCAAAACTGAGAAAAATATTTACATACATTTTAATTGTAAAAGGTTTATCCGACTTACAATCCGTTAACATCTGTCTAACCCCCATGGGAGCAACATGGTCCTTTGTCGCTAAAAGGCAACCCGCGACCGAACAAAAAAAGTACATACACACAAAGCGAAGTGATCACAGTCAAAAAGAGAACTTAAAAGCGGCCGGTAGTTGCGCGTTAATTGCAAAGCAAGCGGTAGTGAAAAACAATCAAACTAATAAAAATTACAGAAAAACCAAATTTAAACGCAAATATAAAGTGAAGTGAACCAAAAGTTTATAAAATGGATAACTAAATCTATTGAGAAATTAACATATATACACTGTGAAACAAAAACAAAAATAGCCAACTCTTATATAGCGGCACCTCAAAATGAGCATTAGGGTGGTTCGTTATACAAAAAATTATTAAAATTAAATAAAAGCACTGTGGAAAAGTGGGTGAATTGACAGAAAAACGTGAAAATAGCTGAAAATAAAAAGGTTAAAAAAAGCGATTACCGGAATATTACCTGAAAATAAAAGAAGAATTACCTGAAAAGAAAAATTCAGTGAAAGCAAATAAATACCTGAAAAGAAAAGAAAATTCATTAAAAAGCAAATAAACACCTGAAAAGAAAAGAAAGTTCAATAAAAAGCAAATAATCACCTGAGAAAAAAGAAAATTTATATAAAAAAAATAAAATAAAATAAAAAACTGAAAAAGGCGTATAAGCGTGGCAAAAAGTGTACAGGCGCTTAAAAAACAAGGTAAAACTAAAGGCTGAATTGTGTACTGGGAAAAAAAGTGCAAAGAAAGTGCGGACCTACTTACCAGCAATAATTTCTGAAAAAGGAAAAAAAGAGCTACATATTTAAAAAAAAAAAAAAAAAACCTTCATAAAAAAAAAAACAAAAAAGCGGTACCGGTTGAAATAAAAATAAAGGCCCAACAATAACAAAAAGGGAAAAAGGCGAATTAAAAACGGGCTTAGCGGCAGTGAAGACCCCAGCACCAACAACAAAAGCGGATAGCAGCAACGGCAGCGACAGGATACAGGCCATTTCAGGCGGTACAGTCCCGACAAAAAAAACAGGTGGTACC